AGAAAGAAGCTGGCATCTGATCACAGATAGTCGGACTTACGACCGATGGACACGGTTTGGAAGCTCTGAGGACCCCCACCCCCCATTATGGTAGCTTTTTGGGCACTTGGCAGGCAGCCAGCATTTAAAGCGGTTGCAGTATTCCCATGCCCACACGACTGCCATTTTTGGTGGGGTTTTGCCAGAAATCAGCGTTTGAATTCCAGTTTCCAGCAAAAAATGCTCATTGAATACAGATGGTCCTGACCTACGACCACAATTGAGCCCAAAATTTCTGATGCTAAGCGAGACAGTTGTTAAGTGAGTTTTGCCCTGTTTTAAAAGCTTTCCTGCCACTATTAAGGGAACCACTGCAGTTAGAAACACAGTTGTTAAGTGAATCTGGCTTCCCCATTGACAGGGAAGGTCGCAAAAGGGATCGCGTGAGCCCGGCAGACTGCAGCCATTGTAAATGCGAACTAGTTGCCAAGTGGGTGAATTTTGAACAGGGGTGCTGTGACGGTCACAAGTGTGAAAAACAGTCCTAAGTCCCTTTTTTCAGTGCTGCTGTAACTTTGACCGGTCACTAAATGAACTGTTGTAAATGGAGGACTGCACAGCTGTGTTCACTTAACTGCCGCAAAAGTTGTAAAATCAGGTGGGGTCACATGGCGACCTACTTAATGACCGTCACCACTTAGGACAGGGGTAGGCAACCTAGGCTCTTTTATGACTGGTGGACTTCAACTCCCAGAATTCCCGAGCCAGCCAAGCTGAGGGGAAAGGGAGAGGTTTCCAAGCTGAGCCAGGCTGGCTCAGGAATTCTGGGAGTTGAAGTCCACGAGTCATGAGGGGGCCATAGTTCCCTCATGCTGGCTCAGGAATTCTGGGAGTTGAAGTCCACCCGTCATAAAAGAGCCAAGGTTGCCTACCCCTGACTTAGGACCATAATTCTGGGCTCTTTTGTGGATGTGGCTTGTGTCTACTCTGGCGCAGAGGCAGGATGACGTTTGGCTTAATCCTGTTTCCGGTTTTGCACCGTGGGCTCCTGCGTGGCCCCCTGCCCCGGCTTGCAGGAAGCCACCTGCTTGGCTCAACCAGGCCAAGGGCCACGTTTCCTTCTCCACTGGGGGAGGCCCCTCGTTGCTGGGGTCTCCATCCTTGGCCACTTGTGGACTTCAACTCCCAGAATTCCCTGGCCAGCCATAAAGTCCACAGGTCTTAAGAGTTTGGAGATCCCTGCTGTATAGCCCGTGGCATTGCCTCTGGAGTCCCCCCTCCCACTGCCCCCCAAATCCTGAAGGACATCAAAGCTCAGGGCAGCGGCTGCTTCCTCACTTCTGCTTCTCTCTCCCCCCCCCCCCACTTTCTCTCTTTCTCTCCCAGTACGCAGCAGACCCACAAGACAAGCACTGGCTGGCTCAGGAGCAGTACATGAGGGCCACCGGAGGGAAGATGGTCAGTAGGGGGCAGGGGCAGAAGCAGCAGGCAGGGGGGGGAGTAAGTGGATCTTTCTCCCTGGCCTGGGGTGTCTGGTCAAAGGAGGGGCTTCTGTCCAGCGCTTCTCCTGCAGGCAGGAGGGGCTGGCCTCCCCTGATGCCCTCGCGGTCTCTCCCTGCACAGGCCTACCTGCTGCTGGAGGAGGACATCCAGGACCTGGCTGCCAGCGATGAGTACAGGTGAGGCTCAGGGAGGCAGGTGAGCTGAGTCCATTCCGAGGAGGCCGGAGCAGGGCAAAGGGTGTCCCCCCCCCCGTCCCTTTAAAACGCTGTTAGTCTTGACCTCCTCTTCCTCTTTTTCCCACTCCTCCTCCTCCTCTTCCTCCCCCCAGGGCTTCTCAGGACCTGAAGCTGGACGAGCTGAAGCCCTTCACCATCCCTTCCTGGATGATTGTGAAGATGCAGAGATATATGAAGACCCTCCGCAGTGACGGGGAGCAGCAGTTGCCGCAGCAACAGCCCCTCTCCCTGCCAGAGGAAATGCGGGAGACTTAAGGCCCGGCCCAGCCAGGGTCTCTTGCCCCTCGTCTGCCACCGGGGACAGGGCTGCAGGGATGCTCCTGGGAAGCCCAGGAATGGGGGGGGCAGCCTCCCCTCAGCCTTTTCCCTGCACAGGATCCCTCCAGGCGCTTCCCTCCTTTCCCGATTTTGTATTTGGAATCTTGTATTTGCTTTGTTGGAGGATTCAGAACGGGTGAAAAAATAAAGGCTTCTGATTGAACCTTCCTTGCTACTTGAAGGGTACTTGAGGAGCAGGCAAGGGGTGAAGAGCAAAGGGACTCCCTGGCTGGCACACAGAGGGGCACCGTGACCCCTCAGCCCCATCCAGAGGGCTTTGGTGGAAAAGCTCTCCACAAAATTCATTTAGTGCACGAGTTAAAAGGTTGCGTCCTAAATGTTGCACCCTTCCTTACCAGCAAAGGCCTGCCAATAGCCGGGCTTATTTCACCAAGCTTTCACGTGTGTTGTTTTTGCTTAGCTTACAGGTCAGCAACCCATGATTCTGGAGCAGCATGTGGCTCTTTGAGCCTTTTCCTGCGGCTCCCAGCTTCCTCCGCCATTTGGAGATAGAGAGAGACACTTTCGCTTTCCTTTTCTCTGTTTCTCTCTGTATGTAAAAAAAAGAGTGGCCTCACGCTGTTTTGGACAAACTGGCAAGCTTATTGGGCGGGGCTCCTGCCTTTGCTGCATCTCAGCAGGAAGCAGTAGCGCTCTCTCGTGCTCTCTCTCTCTCTCTCTCTCTCTCTCTCTCTCACACACACACACACACACACACACACACACTGAGTGGGGGAAGAGGACTGGCAGACCAAGGGCAGGAGAGAACCAGTCCAATAAGAACGTGTGTCAGCTTGTCGGAGAACAGCGTGAGGCCAGGTGAGCAGAAGATCAGAGGGAGGGAGGGAGACAAAGGGAGGGGGGGGGAGAGAGAGAGAGAGAACTCATGCACAGCAGCCTCTATTTTTAATTAAACTCTTCAATCAAGCTCCCCTTCCTTTGTGTGTGCGCATTCTGTGGCTCCCAGTATGTTCTCTGGGAAATGGGTCCAAGTGGCTCTTTGAGTGTTTAAGGTTGCCAACCCCTGGTTTAGCTTGTTGCACGGATCCTGCCTTTGTGGCTTTTGGAGGGGATGAAAAAGTCAAGAATGACCTGGACTGTGGCCCACAATCTCTTTCCGGGCCTCTCATTCTCTCTGGATCCGAGTCATTCAGTAGCACGGAGCAGGTGGGGGGGCAGAGCTGCCTTTCCTTCCTCAGGGATACTTCCGCTGGGCATTGGTGGGGTAGGAGAGGCCGCCCCAGGGACCCAATCCACCGGGAACTGCAGAGCTTGCTTCTCTCTCCCTGCTTTATTGCATCAATGTGAAGCTGCAGGAGGAGGTCACCCAGCTGGTTGGGGTGTCACTTGGGGCGTGCAGATGATGCCCAATGATGCATTCCCCTCCCCCCAAAACACTAGAGATTTTAGCAAACTAGTGCACAACACGTACATCTTGCAAAGCTTTGTCTAAACCGCTTTTGAGACTCACTGAGCTGGTTCGGGAATTCTGGGAGTTGAACATTGGATGGAAGCTAACCAAGGAGAGAAGCAACCTGGAATTAAAGAGAAGCTTCCTAACAGGACAATTAATCAGTGGAACAGCTTCCCTCCAGAAGTGATGGGTGCTCCATCACTGGAGGTTTTTGAGAGTGGATAGCCATTTGTCTGAAATGGTATGTAGGGTCTCCTGCTGGACTAGAAGATCTCCAAGGTCCCTTCCAGCTCTATTCTGATTCTGAAGTCCACAAGTCTTAAAAAGTTGCCAAGGTTGGACACCTCTTGGTCTATGCCAGGGGTAGGCAACCTTGGCTCTTTTATGACTCGTGGACTTCAACTCCCAGAATTCCTGAGCCAGCCACGCTGAGGGGAAAGGGAGAGGTTTCCAAGCTCAGCCAGGCTGGCTAAGGAATTCTGGGAGTTGAAATCCATGAGTCATGAGGGGGCCATAGTTCCCCCATGCTGGCTCAGGAATTCTGGGAGTTGAAGTCCCCGAGTCATGAGGGGGCCATAGTTCCTCCATGTTGGCTCAGGAATTCTGGGAGTTGAAGTCCACGAGTCATGAAGGGGCCATAGTTCCCCCATGCTGGCTGAGGAATTCTGGGAGTTGAAGTCCACCAGTCATGAGGGGGCCATAGTTCCCCCATGCTGCTCAGGAATTCTGGGAATTGAAGTCCACGAGTCATAAAAGAGCCAAGGTTGCCTACCCTTATGCGGTTAATTATTTTAATTTTTTTTTAACCTAGCGTCTGTTTTAATCCTACTGGGGGTGCTCTCGTACCTCCCCCCCCCCGCCCCACTTCCCTGCGCACCGTTAAAATCAAGAAGTGGTGGCAGGACATAAACTGGGGGGCGGATATTTGGGGTGAAAAGCCAAGGACCGAATGGGAAATCAGCTCTTGTGACCGCCTATCAGTCCCCAGAGCCGCATTCAACGCCGTAAAAGACGATCTACTGGAAGGAGAGGGGAACAACCCCAGCCCCCACCCCCCACCCCGCTTGGGGAAAACTAGTTTCCACCCATTCTCCAAAATTGGGGACGGGGAATGAGAAGCCCCGGGCAGAAGAAGCGAGAAGAACGAGGTCACCGGAGCCTCCCATCATCCCCTGCCCCGCTTTCCCGGAGAGAAGCCGGCGAGTTTGTGTGTTTGTGTCTGCTTGTGTCTGTCTCTGTATGTGTGTGTATGTGGAGGTAAAGTCCCCCAGCCCCCGGTCAGGGGCGGAGCGAAGGACGGACACCCAAAGCCGCCCCCCCCGCGCCCTCAATCTCGCAACACCCCTGCCAGGTCGACCACCGGAGCCCCGGGCAGCCGCGCCTGCCACTCCACCACCCCCCCCCCGCTCTTGAAGGAGGCCCCGCCCACGCCTATCGGAGCAACGCTGCCGCGGCGGCCAATCGCTGGGCGCGCGCGCCGCCATTGGGCAGATCGAACGCGAGCCGGGCGCCGATTGGCTGAGCCCGGGGAGCTTTGCAACATTCAAACTCGCAGCCAAAGCCGGGCGAGCCTCTCCCTGCGCCCGCCATGGCCTCGCAGAACGACGACCCCGGCGCCGTCGCCCGCGGCCCCGGCAAGGCGGCAGAACCCGGCGGGGGCGCCGCTCGGGGCTCCGTCCGCAGCAGGTGGGGCCGAGCGCGGCCGGCGGGGGTGACTTGGGGGGGGGGGTGGCTGGGCACGTGCAGGGCCGGCTTCGGGCGACCCGGTCGGCAAGGCGCCGCCCGGGCTGACTTCTCTCTTTCTCGCCCCGCAGGCTGCAGCAGGAGCTGATGACGCTGATGGTGAGTCTGGGGGGGCTCTCTACGCCTGGGGGGGGAGAAGGGGGGGCTTTCCCCTGCCTGCGACCGCCACCGTCCCCCGCAAACGGCCGCGCCCCGGAGCCGCCCGCGTCCTCTTTCCAAGCGCCCGCGGCCCCACAGCTCCGGGGCGCCTCTGATCCGCCTGCCTTTCCCTGGCAGATGTCTGGCGACAGCGGCATCTCGGCCTTCCCGGAGTCGGACAATCTCTTCAAGTGGATCGGGACCATCAACGGCGTGGCTGGGACGGTGAGCGGGCCAAGGAAGACGGAGGCCTGAGGTTGGGCCCCGCAGGGCTCGCCTCCGGCTCCTGTCCCCCCCCCCTTCCTCTCCCCCAACCCGGCAGCCTTTCACCCTCTGCAAATAAAGCGGCGAAGCAGGCGCGGCCCCGGTTGCCAAGCGCTGATGTTGACGAGGGAACGCTCAGATGCGTGAAAGAAGCGGCGGTGGAGCTGGTGAACGGGGCAGGTTGTCTGCCCACCCCACTGGCTGGCAGGCGGGGGGAGGAGGGTTCTGATGCCCTCGTGGGAGCCTCTTGGGGGCATCAGGAGCTCCTGGGGAGAGAAGCCTCCTTCCTTTGACCAGCCAGAACCCTCTCTGGCTGTTGGGGGAGGGGTTTCTGGGCAGATGCCCCCAGCTGCAGAAACGGGATCCCCCCCCCAAAAAAATCAGCAGCACTCTGGGACAATGGGCTTTCAAGCAGAAAACAGGTGGTGATGGAAACTATTGAGGCCACACAGGCAAAGGGGGAGGCCCCAGAGAGGGTCCTGCCCTCCCCCATGCCACACCTGATCTTTTTCCCCCTCCCCTTTTGCAAATGCAGGTCTATGAGGACCTGAGGTACAAGCTGTCCTTGGAGTTCCCCAGCGGGTACCCCTACAACGCCCCCACCGTCAAGTTCCTCACCCCCTGCTACCACCCCAACGTGGACCTTCAGGGGAACATCTGCCTGGACATCCTCAAGGACAAGTGGTCAGCTCTCTACGACGTCCGGACCATTTTGCTCTCCGTCCAGAGTTTACTGGGAGGTGAGGAGAAAGGGGGGCCTGGAATCGGGGGGGGGGCTAGCAGGAGGAGAATTTCTCCCCCCCCCCCCGCCAGCCAGCTGTGGAATTCCCACTGAAGCCTCTGAGCTGCACCCCAAGAAGTAGAGTTGAGGGGGTGGGGGGATCCTGGCTGTGCAGAAAAGAGTCATGCAGTAACTGACTACCCGGTGTCAGGCGCGCTGCCAAGACCTGGCAGAGCAGAATCCCCCATCCCGCCATGGCAGGGAGGAGGGAGGTGAATTTGATTCTGTTACAAAAAAACGTGATTTGCGACCTTCTTTGCCACTTCAGAGCCAAACGTGGAAAGTCCTTTGAACGTAGAGGCTGCTGAGCTTTGGAAGAACCAAGCAGGTGAGTAGCCGAGTCAGCTCGGACTGGTGGTAAAAGCAACAGGCTAGAAACCAGGAGGCGGGGAGTTCTAGCCCCGCTTTAGAAGGAAAGCCAGCTGGGTGAATATGGGCCAATCACCAAGAAACTGGGAGTTCTAGTCCCGCCTTAGAAGGAAAGCCAGCTGGATGACTATGGGCCAATCACCAGGAGACTGGGAGTTCTAGTCCCCCCCAAGTAGAAAGTCAGCTGGGTGACTTTGGGCCAGTCCTCTCTCTCAGCCCAGCCCACCTCACAGGGTGGTTGTGCTGGGGAAAACAGGAGGAAAAAGGAGTATTAGTCATCTTCACCATCTTAGCTACCTATAAAGTAATAAAGGCAGAATTAAATGCTAACAAATAAGGAAGTCTCCTGAGAAGAGAACCCTTGGAAAGACGCCCCTCCCCCCCAGCACTGAGGGAGAGTTGCAGAACGCAACTTGAGCTGGGGTGGGGTCCTTTCCTTCATTTTAAGAGCTTCATGAGGACTTGGGTCTTTCTTGTCTGAAAGTGGTGGAGGCAAGCAACTTTTGGTTCTTTTTGGCTTACCTTCTCCGGCCTCTTGTCTTTTTAAAGCAGCTGCTTTGTGCCGTACAGGCAGTCCTCTACTTACAACAATTTGTTGAGTGCAGGGGTAGGCAACCTCGGCTGTTTTAGGACTCATGGACTTCAACTAGCTTACAGCATAGCTGACTCAGGAATTCTGGGAGTTGAAGTCCATGAGTCCTAAAAGAGCCGAGGTTGCCTACCCTTGGTTTACTGACTGTTGGAAGTTACGACGACACTGAAAAAAAGTGGCTTAGGACCATTTTTCACACTTGTGACCGTTGCAGCATCCCCGTGGTCATGTGACCCACATTCACCTGCTTGACAACTGGTTCGTGTTTACGATGGTCGCTGTGTCCCGGGGTCCTATTTTTGCAAAAGCAAAGTCCACGGGGGAGCCAGATTCACTGAACAGCTGTGTTACTAACGGAATAATGCAGCCATTCACTTAACTGTGGCAAGAACAGTCGTAAAATGGGGTAAAACTCACTTCGCAAATTTCTCATTTAGCCACAATAAATTTGGGGCTCCATTGTGGCTGTAAGCAGAGAACGACCTGTATAGTTTTTACAGCTGCACAGTTTCATGGCTGCAGGAGAGCAGGCACACTATTTATTTTTATGAGACTTATATACCGCTTTAAGTGCAAGCACTCTCTAATTGTGCAAAAGAATTGCCGTGCCCTTGCATCTTTGCCCAGCTCTGTTGGGGAGGGTGGGTGGGCAGGATTTGATGCCCAGAAAATCTTTGGCTGAATTTGACTCGGTCTCCACCCTTTTTTCTAAACACATAACCGTCTCCGGGTCCTTAATCTGTCCCTGTTGTCTCTTCACACAGCCTACAGAAAATACCTCCACGAATCCTATCGAAAACACATGAAGAGTCAGGATACTTGATGTCCTTCCAGCCAGCACACCACTTCACTGGGGGGGGGGAGAGGAGGGAGCCCCGTGATAACGTCTTTTCTCTCTTCTGTTTTATCCTTGTGATTTCTGTACGTCAGCCCCTATTGTATTATAGATCATTTTAATGTTTATCTGGCTTTTTCCGTGGTGCTAATGTATAAATAAACTTCCCTTGTTTTTATAAAGTGATGCCTATTTGAGTTTGGGAGTGGGTTTCAATGAATTGAAAAAAAAAGGGCAGAGAAGAGTAACAAAGATGATCAGGCGTCTGGAGGCTAAAACATACAAAAAAGAGTTGCAAGAATTGGGGATGTCTTGTCTAATGAAGAGGGCGAGGGGGGACATGATAGCAGTCTTCCAATATTTGAGGGGCTGCCCCAAAGAAGAGGGGGGTCCACCTAATCTCCAAAGCACCTGAAGGCTGGACAAGAAGCAATGGATGGAAACTAATCAAATAGAGAAGCAACCTAGAACTAAGGAGAAACTTCCTGACAGTGAGAACAATTAATCAGTGGAACAACTTGCCTCCAGAAGTTGTGAATGCTCCAACACTGGAAGTTTTGAAGAGACTGGACAGCCATTTGTCCAAAATGGGTTTGGGGTTTCCTGCTTGAGCAGGGGGGTGGTGGTGGACTAGAATACCTCCAAGGTCCCTTCCAACTTATTCTGTCATTTTGAATTCCCTTGCATTTACTGAGAAAGGGGGAAATGTCATAGGGGGGAGTTGCGTTACAATTTTCATTTACATTTCTACCTATTCCTTATTCCTCTGGACAAAATTGAGAAATAGAGGTTGGATTCAGTGTTGTTCTTTTATAATGTCTTTTTGTCATGGGCAAGAATATGAAAAATGAGACCTTTGTAATGGATCGACACCATCTTGTGCTCTTTTGGGGTTTTCAGTTTAAATAGCTGCTATTTAATACGGAGTGGGACTAATTACCTCCCACACCTCTCCACGTCTACGATTTTAGTATTTAAAGATATAGATGAAATACTCTTGTATTTTTGTTTTAAACAAAGCTTGATTATTTTTTTTTCCTACTTGTGAGATAGTTTAGCTCAAGGGTCTTCAAACTTGTCCAGTTTAAGACTTGTGGACTGCAACTCCCAGAATTCCTCAGCCAGCCCTGAGGGCTGGCTGAGGAATTCTGGGAGTTGAAGTCCACAAGTCTTAAAGTGGCCAAGTTTGAAGAGCCCTGGTTTAGCTCCAGTGAGAAAAGACTGGTACCCCTAAGCCTTGATGGTCTGTGGTCATATAATGGTCATTTTTCACTTGCACCTAATACCCCAGAAGAGGGGGGGGGCAATATTTCCAAGTCACTCCGCAGAGCAGGAGGGAAGGCCAGAGAGAGCTGGGAGACAAGGCTGGAGACCTCCCTCCTCCCAAATGCTGCAGAGTTCCAGTTTTAAATGCTGGTTATTTTCTTGTCCTCAAATCTCCCTCCAGTCTAAGTTGAGTTTTGCCCCATTTTGTGACTTTTCTTGCCACCGTTGTTAAGCAAATCAATGCGTTGTTAAGTGAATCTGGCTTCCCCATTGAATTGGCTTTTGTCAGGAGGTCACAAAAGGATCCCAGGGCCCCTGGTGTATAACTGCACCAGCCTTTAAAATCCTCCTGTCCGTTTCACATGGAGCCCCTTGGACTCCGATCCCGGACATGTCTAGGGGGGGCTTTCCCTCCTCCCTCCGAGAGCCTCCAGCTGACACAGCTGAAGTCACAAGTTTTGGCTTGCAAGGGGGGGCAGGAAATTGTCTTCCTGGAGGAAATTGTTCGGCCCCTCCCTTGAGGACTGGTGCTCCTAGACACCCCCCCCCCAGAGGTCTTCTTCTTAGGTGACCCTGTCCAGGAGTTGCAGCCCTTCCTGGGGAGCCCTGCTGCCCTTAGATCTGGGTCACCCCCTCCCTGAGGGGCTCCAGTAGACAGGTGTAATCCTGGCCCTGGGCATTGGGGGGGGTGCTGAGGTGGAGAGCTGCCCCAGCAGGATTACAACCAGCTTGGAACCCTCTGAGTCCGCATTGTTTCACACTGTTCCCTGTGGGGTGCATTGTTTTACTGCTTAGTTTTGTGGACTGCTCAGAGTGGAGTGGAGTGGAGAGGGGAGGAAGGAAGGAAGGAAGGCAAGGCAAGGCAAGGCAAGAGTAGGAGGGAGAGATAGGAGAAGGAAGAAAGAAAAGGAAGGAAGGGAAGGGTAGGAGGGAGAGAGAGAGAAAAGGGAGGAAGGAAGGGAAGATTGTGAAGGAAAGATAGGAGGAAGAAAGAAATAGAAAAGGAAGGAAGGAAACGAAGGGTAGGACGGAGAGAAAGAGATAGGAGAAAAAAGGGAGGGAGGAAGGGAAGGAAGGGAAGAGTGGGAGGGAGAGAAAGGAGAAAGGGAGGGAAGGAAAGGAGGGAAGGAAGAAAAGGAAGGAAGGGAAGGGTAGGAGGGAGAGAGAGATAGAAAAAAGGGAGGAAGGAAGGAAGGGAAGAATGGGAAGGAGAGATAGGAAGAAATAGAAGGGAGGAAGGAAGAAAAGGGTGGAAGGAAGGAAGGAAGCGAAGGGTGGGAGGGAGAGAAAAAGGGAGGAAGGAAGAATGGGAGGGAAAGATAGGAGGAAGAAAAATAGAAAAGGAAGGAAGGGAAGGGTGGGACAGAGAAAGATAGAAAAAAGGGAGGGAGGAAGGGAAGGAAGGGAAGAATGGGAGAGAGAGAGAGAAAGAAGAAAGGGGGAGGAAGGAAGGGAAGAGAAGAGTGGGAGGGAGAGATAGGAAGAAAGAAAAAGGAAAGAAGGAAGGAAGGAAGGAAGGAAGGAAGGAAGGAAGGAAGGAAGGAAGGAAGGAAGGAAGGAAGGAAGGGCTTGGCTTCTCATTCCACGGCCATCTTCCACGGTGAGGAGGAGGGGGGGCAGTGTCCGCCACTCAGGAAGGGGATCCAGAGCCGTTCAAGGGAGCTCAGTTGCCACCATGCAGCAGCCCTGCTTATCGTCCATTTCTTCCACGAGGCTGGCAGATACACAGCCGGGCACAGAGGCCAGCCTGCCTTTGGGCTTGCAGGTGGTGGGGGGGAGAGGTTAAGATGCCTCCCTTCCCCCCCCCCATGCTCTGCTTTCTCCCTTGAGCCAGCCTGGGATGGGCAGGGGGGGACAAGGTGCCCTGCCCTGAAGCCCAAGGAGAGGCAGGAGCCCCACGCCTCTCGGAGCCCCCCCCCTGTCCCCCTCCCTGGGTTTAGTTCCTCCAAAGGGAATGTAAGCGTACTCCTTGGACGACCCCTCCCCCTGCCTGGCATGATGGGGCCCACTCAGAGGACAGGAAGGGCGGTGGGGGGGGTCTTGCCTATCTCCCCCTCCCTAGCCAGGCAGGCTCTCTGGGGGGGGGGGGTGAGGGACGATGATGCTTCCGCTACCAAACTCAGCCCCGCAGCCCTTCTGCTTCCAGTCCGCTGCTCTTTATTGAGGTGTCAGTGTTCAAAACAGGCTTTCAGAGCTGGGGATGATGGGATCCAGAGTTTTGCTGAAGAGGCGTCTCTGAGCTGTGCAGAGCAAGCTGGCGCAGGAGCAGGGGGTTCGGGGGCTCGGCGGGGCTGGGGGGAGCTGCCCCCTCCCACTGGCTAGTCTGCCAGGAATGTCTCGACGCTTTACTGCACACCCTCCATCATCTTGAGGAACTCTGGGGGGAGATGGAGATGGGTCAGCCCCCCCAGCAAGGATAGGCAGCAAGCACCCCCTCCCGGATGGGGTCTGGAGGAGCCAAGGAGGGAAGCCCCCCACGAAGGGGCACCCAGCACCCGCCCAACCTGAATTGCTTGCGGGTTCCAGGAAGGGCTTTGCCCTGGGGTCTTGGCCCCTAGGGTCCCAAACTCCATGTAGGGAGAAGGCTGGGTCAGGGCCTTTCTCCCCGTGGGGGGACAGGAGGGAGGGGAGCTATGGGTCAGCCCCCAAGAAGCTCCGTCCGTCTGTCCGTCCGTCCCTCTGAGCTGCTCACCATCGAAATCAATCCGCCCATCGTTGTTTTTGTCTCCGTCCCTCATCAGTTCCTGGATCTCCTCTTCCGAGACCGCCTCCCCAGACATCCGGAAGATCTCCACCAGCTCCTCGGCATCCAGGAAACCATCGGCATTCCTGGCAGGAAAGGGGGAAGGAGTGGAAAAGCTGAGATGGGGCAAACATCTCCCCCACTGTGGCCACTGTCAGCTGAGCAAAACTGGCCCAGCAGCATGGAGGGCACATCCTGTCCGGTTGCCCAGTCCAGTTGAGCGCCACAAGGCCTCAAGGACTCGGAAAGCCCCAGAGCCAGGGGTAGGCAACCTGGGCTCTTTTATGACTTGTGGACTTCAATTCCCAGAATTCCTGAGCCAGCTATGCTGAGGGGAAAGGGAGAGATTTCCATGCTGAGCCATGTTGGCTCAGGAATTCTGGGAGTTGAAGTCCCCGAGTCATGAGGGGGCCATAGTTCCCCCATGCTGGCTCAGGAATTCTGGGAGTTGAAGTCCACCAGTCATGAGGGGGCCATAGTTCCCCCATGCTGGCTGAGGAATTCTGGGAGTTGAAGTCCACCAGTCATAAAAGAGCCAAGGTTGCCTACCCCTGCCCCAGACCATCCCACCTCTGCGGCCTCAACACCAGCAGAGACCAGAACCAGAAGGCAGAAAAACAGAGTAGGAAGGGGCCTTTGAGGTCTTCTAGTCCAACCACCTGTTTAAACAGGAGACCCTAGACCAGTTTGGACAGTGTTCAAACTTGAACACTGGGCCCTGTCTAACAAAACGAAATTCAGTGTCGAGAAAATAAGGTTTTACACTCAGGCAAGAAAAGCCAAAACGTACAGGGGCAGATTAGGTGAAACCAGGATCCATGGAAGTAACTGTGAGATCTCGGAGCCCAAGTGGATAATCCCTTAAACGTGAGCCAGCCAGCCAAATAAAGACCGTGCAACCCTAAGCTGCATTAACAGAGGGATTCAATCGTGATCACGTCAGGTACTAATACTAAGTAAAACGACACCTAGAATACTGCAACCAATTTTGGTCTCCACACTATGAAAAACATGCTGAGACTCTAGAAAGAGTGCAGAGAAGAGCCACAAAGATGATTAGGGGACTGGAGGGTAAAACATATAAGGAACGGTTACAGGAACTGGGCATGGCTAGTCTAGTGAAGATTTTTTCTGGGCTCCAAGATCACCTCAGATGGGGACTGCAGCCAAGAA